TCGCGGAAATTCCTCCGAATATTCGCCACTCTTCAACTCGCGACTATTGTTCATTGTATTCCGGGCAAGTTTCACGTTTGATTATCAAGTTCGTATTTAGAGAATGACCCCGAGTCATACGGTTAAAGACAGGTGAAGAAGTGGTAAGTGGAAGAAAATAAGATGTCGACGTGCTTCCGATCGATCCCATGGGGATCACTGAATGCAGCAGTGATATCGATCGTAGGATGTCTGGCATTCTCGATACTGTTCGATGGAGCCATGGAAGGCTTCTCAATGCAGGTATCTATAACCACACCTATTCATGTTACAACTTTACCTTTTACAGATGTCACTAATCGTCCTCTGACAATTGTTCAAGGTGATTTGCATCGTATTGGACATGTTCTAGGATATAGAGGCAATAATACATTACTGCACAAAAAACGATTGCAATTTTCATTAGATGGCTGTCTTCAGTAAATCATTTAGCGTCGACCATGCGTTTTGATGAATACATCAGTAATGTCAAGCATGTCAATAGGATTAGGTTTAATGGTGCACAGTTTATTTGTACCTGTAATGAGCCAACCACGACAATATTAATGGAGCTGACAGCTGTATGGGTAACTCGTTAGCAATGATCTCAACGATCTAGGATATCAGGAATTTTTTATAAAGCGAAATTGTTTTCAGGTTAATACTCTCTTTCCTCTTGGCTCATTCACATTCCGATGGGTCATCGTTTGTGTGACAATATTCATCATAACAATTTCCATATTGTTTCTCCTCATTGGGGCTGCGTCTACTTCCAGTCAGTTATTATATGCTCGAGCTTATGTTTATGATGAATGAAAATTGATAGAATGCATTTAAGAAGCATAAAATTTGCATGAAATCTATGTGAAGCTGTCGTAATTATCTCATCAACCAAAACTCCTGATCATTTGAAGATGCTGTAGGTAATGCTAAAATGATCGAATGCACTAATTTGACCTAAATTAGTATAGTTTCTGAAAACATCGAAAATTCATTCTGGAATTTATGTTAGAGTTTGTTTCAGCGTCAGTTAAACTGAACAAGAAGCCTGAATCTATCGAGAATCAATCCCTGCTGTCTCGGATTGTAACGTCCAGATGTCTTCTCGGGCTCGTCACATTATCGACAATGGCTTTGGGTTTGTTGACTATCAAATTTGACTATCAATTGTATGATAACTTCATCTACTCGCCCTTGAAAACCATTCGAATAACAATCTTTCTGCTGGATCACCTACATAGCGATTATTATTCAATCAATCACTCCTCTTGAATTAATCTAAGTTTTTCAACTGCTGTCTTGCCTCAGTCTTGGAATATGCTATGTTTCATCAATTCGTGTTATTTCAGTTTTGATATGGGCATTAATCGTTTGTACGTGTGCNGCATTCTACATCGTCTTCATCGGCGCAGTTTACTCGTTCTGTGCGCTCGTTGATCAACAATGCTTTGATTTTACAGTCTTGTTACCTGCACTAGTTAATCGACTCAGCAAACAGGTAACCTAACTGGACAGTATTTCTCGGCACTAACTTCTGCATCGAATTTATATCCCGGGAGTATTCATTAGGCAGAATTACCGTAGAGGATCGCTCACGAATCCATTTATTCTTCTGTATCGTTGCAATGAAACATGTTACTGTCAGTTAATAAAACACCATATTGTCATGGCTGTGTAACTTTTGTCACATATCTGTTATTATTCATGTTCTTGTAGTTTTTATCAGTCAAGTGCTACGACAACATATGATTCGTACTCACTATAATCATCTCATGAAATCACTTAGTTTCTGAAATTCTTAAAAATTTCAGAAGGTCGACTTAACTTTCTGTAAGGACAAGAAGGAGGCGTTGTGTGCAAAGGAGCACAATCAAGTTTGGACATTCGTTGGCGCATTTCTGTGCGCATTAATGGCTTTGGCTGGACTTGTCTATTTCTTGATGTGCATGACGGCCAATTATACAAGGTCTGGATGATTTCTCTAACTGATTCACTGAATATTGTCAGTCACCATTTTGGCTATTGTCGAATTCACTCGATTACTTGCTAAATTCTCTATCGAATGATCTTGATATAAGATCAATAACCATCAAATTTTTACTCAATTTTAA